AAAGAAAACCCCACTTAAACCAATATAGATGCCCATCAGCCAAGCCTTAAAGAGGCGATGAATATTAATTCATTCAATAGAATCCTATGCTATTGCTTGAAGCAGATAAATGCATTCCACACTACTGCAAACACACACTGTATCCAAATTTTGATAAAGTGGGCTGTGAGGCTCAACCGGCAGGTGTGCTAGAATGGAGCATCTGTTCACTTGCTCTCTTCCTGTGAAGAGCCCATCCCACCAAGCTGGTGGCAAATTGACCCCCAGCCGTGATTCATCATGCTCCCTGGCACAATGCAGCCCCCACAGGGACAGTGCTTCAGTCTGAGCTTCTCGGTAGCAATGAGGAGGAAGGCAGAATGAATGAGCACTCCTTAGGCACCAAGCCTGGTGCTCACTACCAAAACACCCACTGCCACAGCCCATGCAGATCACAGGCTCCTGGGCCACCAGGAGTCCAGGACACCTCAGGCAGGCTGGAAAATGTTTCCAGCCCCCTGAAGACATGCTTGCTGTCCAGTTCAAGGGGCAGGTAATCCACCCTTGCTCAGAGAACTAGCCCTTGACCTCTTCTGCAGCCACTGAGGGCAACTTTGGGACCTGAGATTGAACAACCTCTCTGCCTGCGCCCCTCCCCCCACCCCGTCTTTTAATCAACTTCTGTCAGCTCTGCTCTCCTCTCCCAGCCACCCCATCAATACTCAACAGTCACCCCCCCCCAACCCTCTCCTTGCCTCCTCTCTCCCCCGCCCCCCGCCACTGGGGAAGCCAAAGTGGGAAAGGAAGTCTATGTCACAGGAATGCCTGCAAACCTCCTCCAAGGTGAAGGGGCCCAGAAACTTCCTCAAAAAATGATCTTGTCAAATCCCCCGTTTGTAATCATGCACGTATGTTATATGAGCATATATGATGCACAAACATACACCCCCTTGGTTTGTGTGCATGTTACACTACTGCCATTCAATAATCCTGAGCAAGAGACAAGTTTCTCCTCAATAAAGTTTTATTATCACTTTAGTTAAAAATGCATTCAGCTGCAAGGAGCTTAATACCCACTGAATGTATTAAATTCATTGGGTATTTTGTTTTGTTTTGTCATGGGGCTTTAACTCAGAGCCTGGGAGCCGTCCATGAGCAATTTTTGCTCAAGGCTAGCACTCTACCACTTTGAGCCACAGTGTTACTTCCAGTCTTCTGGTGGTTAATTGGGTAAGAGTCTTAAGGACTTTCTTGCCCGGCTGGCTTTGAACCGCAATCCTCAGATCTCAGCCTCCTGAGTAGTTAGGATTACAGGCCTAAGCCACCAGCACCCCACTTGATTTTGTTATTTTTTGGGGGGAGAGTCCGGTCATGGGGCCTGAACTCTGGACCTGGGTGCTGTCCTTCAGCTCTTCAGCTCAAGGCTAGCGCTCTACCACTTGAGCCACAGTGCCACTTCCGGCTTTTTTCTTTTTGCTTATGTGGGTGCTGAGGAATCGAACTCAGGGCCTCAGGCATGCAAGGCAAGTGCTCTACCACTGAGCCACCTTCCCAGCCCCTTGATTTTGTTATTATTTATTTACTTTTTTCACCTAACACAAGTCTAGAAGCAAACACAGCAGCACTGTGAACCATCATCCCCATGTTGATTTCTCATCCTCAGGTTTGTTGCCTCATTGTCCCCAAGGGAAATGCTGCAGCTCCAGGCATTGTTCTGTGTTAAAATAGGAAAAGGGAGAAGCAGCAGTGTCTTGTAATAAGCAAGCAGATAGTTTCTAGAAATACCTCTTTGTAGTTCCTCTTGGATGCAATGAGGCGGAATGCTGTCAGGTGCCCACTTACCATTCTCAGGGAAGCTGCAGAGTGACCACGGGTTCTTTTCCACCTTGTGGTAGAGGCAGGAAAGGGAGAGATTACATTTGTCTGCTTGTCAACCACAATGTCTGCGCGTCAGTGCATAGTGCTTTATAGTTTACCAAAGAGCTACTGTTACCTTTTTACGGAAACTGCAGCTCATCCATAGAGAGAGCAACGGACTGATTACCTAAGGTGAAGGCAGATAGAACTAGCAGAGTCCAGAGCTCCTTCCCCTACCCAAAGGTTGTGGGGTTTGAACTCAGAGCCTGGCACTGTCCTGAGTTTTTGCACTCAAGGCAAGAGCTCTACCACGTGAGCCACAGCACCACTTCCAGTTTTCTGGTGGTTAATTGGAGATAAGAGTATCTCAGCCTCTCCTTCCCTGGGATGGCTCTGAACCTTAGATCTCAGTCTCCTGAGTAGCTAGGATTACAGACATGAGCCACCAGTGCCCAGTCAAAGCTCTTCTTGATACACACCCTGCATCCATTTCCCCACCTGATCTATAGGCTTTTTGTTCTCTCTACCCAGCTATCACTCTACAAACCTGTGCACAAAGATGCTCCAGGCAGGCATACAGGACTTGGACTGCCATTGGTCCTTCAGCCATACCAGCCCAGGCCTGGGGACAGGGCAGTAAGTATCCAGAGACAGGTACAGTCAAGGAAAGCTCTCTCACCCCTCCAAGTCCAGCAGGGCAGGGCAGGCTGTCAGGGGCTGGCAGACAGAAGAGCAGGGGTCCTAGGGGCCTCCTCCAGAGGACTGGGGGAGGTGACAGAGAGGATGTGAGGGGAGAGGGGTAAAGCAAGAGAGCATGAAGACAAGAGGAATGATGGGAGACAGGGAAGAAGGGGAGAGGACATGAGGAAGCCAACTTCTGGGTGACAGGAGAAGAGAGACACAGAGCAGGCTTTGCAGCCCTGGGGCAGTGTCAGCTAGGGCTTGAGTGTGACAGAAACTCACTGGAGGGAAGTGGGAGGGTGGAGACAGAGAAAGAACCTGCACCCGGGGATTAGGCAGCTTGCAGAGGTGGAGACCCCCATGCTGGGCTCTTAGTTTGCCCCTGTCTCCTGCCTGTCCGGCGGATCTACCCTAACCCAGCCCTGGAACATAACTCACACTCAGGGCCTTTTGGTGTACATGAGCAACAGAATCAGTCATACAAATGCATAAAAAAGTCAGCTCGCCGGGCGCTGGTGGCTCACGCCTGTAATCCTAGCTACTCAGGAGGCTGAGATCTGAGGATCACGGTTCAAAGCCAGCTCTGGCAGGAAAAACTGTGAGACTCCAATTTCCAATAAACCACCAGAAAACCGGAAGTGGCGCTGTAGCTCAAGTGGTAGAGCGCTCGCCTTGAGCTGAAGAGCTGAGGGACAGCGCCCAGGCCCAGAGTTCAAGCCCCACGACCGACAAAAAAAAAAAAAAAGGTCATCTGAAGAAGCACACTGGTAGCCGGTGCAGGTGGCTCAGACCTGCAATTCTAGGTACTCAGGAGGCTGAGATCTAAGGATCAAGGGTTAAAGCCAGCCTGGGCAGGGAATTCCTTGGGACTGTGATCCACAGGTAACCGGCAAAAACCCTGAAGGTGACATTGTCCAAAAAGAAATTACTCATTACTTGACATATATAACTCTAACTTCTCTGTACTTCACCTTTATAATAATTTAAAAAAATTTAAGCAGAAGGGGTGACATTGCCCCCCTCAATCACTGATTTATGTAATGCAACCCCTCCATACATCACCTTTATAATAACAATCATGAGGGAGGTGGTCATGGGGCTTGAACTCTGGGCCTGGGCACTGTCCCTCAGCTCTTCAGCACAAGGCTAGTGCTCTACCACCTGAGCCACAGCACCACTTCCAGTTTTCTGAGTCATTTATTGGAGATAAGAGTCTCACAGACTTTCCTGGCCAGGCTGGCTTTGAACTGCGATCCTCCTGAGTAGCTAGGATTACAGGCATGAGCCACCAGCACCCAGCTAATAACAATCTTTTTTAAGCCAGAAGTTGAGATGTGGTTCAAGTGGTAGAGAGCCAGCCTTGAGTGCACACACACACACACACACAGCCCTGGAATTTTCCTCCAAAGGAGAGAAGGAAGGAAATGAAATGTGTCACGGGGGAGAAGGTAGACAGGCCCCATGGAGAGGGGTCTCCTTGGCTGAGAGGTACAAGAATGAGGGGGGAAGCCAGCCTCCCTCAGCCAGACCCCGCCCATCCACCCTGCTCCCCACCACCCCACCTCCACCAGGGAAATGGACTGTGTGTCACCAGCATGCCCTGTGGGTCCCCACAGAACCGTCAGGATTGCGTCTGTTCCTCTCCCAGCTCACCCGCCCTCTCCGAACCCCCGCCAAGCACTATCTCAGTGACCCCTTGTCCTCATGGGCTGGGCCCTCCCTCCTCAGGGCCAGTCTGGCTCCTGCGCAGCCTCCAGGGCATCCATCTGATCATCAGCCCTATCAGGTGCCTCCTTGGTCATGGAACCCTATCCCCAGCCAGCCCCAGTGCCCAACCTGCCCAGCCACACACACACACACACACACACACACACCTATGGAATGTTACCACAGTGACAGCACGGTTCTGGGGCCCCAGGGTGGGCAACCACGCCTCTGGGCCTGTGCTGGGAGCTCACTTCCCAGTCACTGCACAGGCTTCCCTGTGCTCTTCACAACTGCCTGGGAGCAGGTGGCCCAGAGGAGCCAGCCTGGAACCTGCCCATGTGGGAGTCAGGCAAGCTTGGTGGCTCAGGAGCATGTGATCCTCCCCAGGCCCCATGGGACTTGGGGCTGGGGGGGGAGGAGGAGGGGTCTCTGCATTCTCCCATGGTACTTCACTCAAGACAGAGGCCAGCAACCCTAGCAGCATGATGGAGAAAGGTGACAAGGTCCATCCCCTGGGCTTGGGTCAGAAGCCCAGATGTGTGTGTGTTTGTGTGTGTGTGTGTGTGTGTCTTGGGTGAGGTGTGCATGCATGCGTGCATGCACATGTGCATATACACACCAGTACTGGGGCTTGGAGTCAGCTCTTTTTTTTTTTTGCCAGTCTTGGGGCTTGAACTCTGGGCCCTGAGTTTCTGACAGCCCTCTGCTGTCCCTGAGCTGCTTTTGCTCAAGGCAAGCACTCTACTTGAGCCACAGCACCAATTCAGGCTTGTTTGAGTAGTTTATTGGAGATAAGAGTTTCACAAGGTTTCCTGCCCAGGCTGGCTTTGAATCTCTGCTCCTCCTTTTCCACTGGCCCCCACTTCCCAGGCTGTCCAGGACTCAAGGCCGGGCCAGGCATTGGCCTCAATCCCGACCTTCCGCTCCCCTCACCCCGCTCCACGGCTGCAGGAGCAAGGCTGAGGGTACAGGACATGGGAAGGCATACAGAGAGGTTTGTATATTGGGCAGAGTCTTAGAGAGTCAGTAAGGCACACGGTCCAGGAAAGGGCCAGAGCCAAAGGCCCTGCCTCAGTGCCAGGGACCCTTGCATATAGTTGCTGTCCTCTGAGCAGCTCTGACCAGTTATCTCTTTGGTCCCTACTCAGGACACTGAGATAAGGGGGGCTCTTGTGTGGGTGATCAGAGGCAGGGAAGGAGGAGGCAGCTTGTGGTTGGGGGTGGCAGAGGTTGGGGCTCTGGTATGAGCTGCTGCTGACACCCTAAGGCACTAAGAATGAAGGTGCCCAGCTCCGGGCACTTCTTGGATGAGGACGGGGGCTCAGCTTGGCTGACCTGGGGAGGGGGGTGGGCTGGTGGCCGCTGTGCGGGAGGCGCAGGTACTGCCTCAGCTGAAGTCTCGGTTGGGCAGGAGCAGGGGGGCCACCAGAGTCCACAGGTAGAGGCATAGCCCTGCCCAGCTGGCACAGATCTTCACCCACACGGCCGTCCATGTGCTGATCATCTTTCGAGTCTCACTGGGGCTGGAACACATCATCTGTCTTGTCAGCCTGGCCTCCATCCTAAGCTCCATTCTGTTTCCTAACCTTGTGACTCAGGGTGACCCCTGAGGTCAGTAACTCTAAACCTCCATCTCTGACACTGCTGACAAACTGGGCCTAGTAACCCTGCACACAGCCCTTGGCCAGTACCACAGAGCTTATTCTGACCTGGAATCCTAACTCCTTCCCTTCCCTTCCTTTTTCCTTTCCCTTCCCTTTTCCCCTTCCCTTCCCTTCCCTTCCCTTATCCCTTCCCTTCCCTTCCCTTCCCTCCATACTAGGTTTGAACTCAGAAACTTGCTTTTGCTCACTCAAGCCTTACTTCCAGCTCTGCTTTTCCCTGGTTAATTTGAAATAAAGTCTCAAGGACTTTTCTGTCCCAGCTGGCTTTGAACTTGGATCCTCTAAATCCCAGACTCCTGAGTAGCTAGGATTACAAAAGTGAATCATGAATGCTCAACTTCAATCTCCACCTTGTCAGTAGTTCTAAATCTCAAAAGTGGCCTGACTCCTAGTCTCTACCCTTGTGATTCTAATTCTTTGGCCTCATCTAGACCTTAATCCTGGGGCCCTGGAGCTCCTGACGTTAGTCCTGACCTGTAACTTCAACTTTGGATCTTTGATCCCATAACCCAGCCTGACCCCTGACTTGATACCACACCCTTCATCTTAGCTCCTTTATCCTACAACTTCTGTACTGGTACTAAGCCTCCCAACCCCTATTTTTAACCAAACAGTCCAGCCTCTGTGTGTGTGTGTGTATGTGTGTGTGTGTGTGTGTACTTGGGTGCACACACACAGAGACACATGCACACACATGCTAAACTATTGCCATCTAATACCCCAGAGGAACCACACAAGCTGAGGCTTTACAGGACACCACCTCCATCCCAGGCCTCATGGCTTCCAACCTTGATGCCAGGATCGTGACCACCACACCCTCACCCTCCAACCATGAATCCCAACTCTGACCCTGGAATACCTCAGTGGATCTGAGCCACAGCCAGGAAACTGAGGCAGGGCAGGGGTAGGCTCTACAGTGGTCTAAGACAGACCCCACTGCCAGGCCTTAGGCAAGCACCCGATCATGAAGGAGGGGCTGGAGAAAAGGAGACAGGCAGCAGGCTCCCCGCCCACCCGCCTGCCCTCGGGGCTGCCGCACCTGTACCAGTTGGTGAGCGTCATCATGACGTGCAGGGAGGCCAGCACCAGGCAGAAGTGGAAGAAGGAGTAGCTGTAGGTGACACCATCCTGCTCATTGTCAAAGGCTTGGCCCTTGCAGGCCACCACCTGCTGCTGCTGCTGCTGCTGCGTGGCCTCCGGACACTCCTCTGTCTGCATCAGGCTGTTCACCTGCCGGTGGTCGGACGAGCGCAGGCTGTGGGGGGAGGAGGGCGGGGGTCACAGCTACTGCTGCCAAGGAGGCCAGAGGGACAGCAGCAGGTGACGCTGTGAGCCATGGCCCTGGCCACAGATGGTGTCAGAACCGCAGGGGCCAGTGACCCAGTGGTCTTAAACCATTTTGACTCTCAACCCTACCCCAATTCCCTGTGGCGATCGTCAGCAAGGCATACCTCTGTAAGCCTCTGCTCCACCATCTCTAAAATCACTCCTAGGGTTTGGGGGAAGATTAATTAGAACAATGATATAGAGACTCTGGTTATGCCCAGGACAATGTATTAGCTAAATAAACTGTCGCTATGACCATCATCATTTTTGGTCTGCCACTCCCACAAACATGAGCTGAGTACGGCATACTGACACTAGAATACAATAGTCATCATAACGATGATTGTTCATCATTCTTCTATGACTAGGTCTTGCTGTTTAAAAACAGAAGTTAATAGTCTGAGATAGACAGAATTGTAGAAAGCCCAACTTGTATTTTGAAAAGGTGAGCAGGCTGGATATGATGGGTCATGGCTACAATCCCTGTTACTTGGGAGCCAGAGATTAGGAGGTTCTAGACTTGTTCAGGCAAAGTGTTAGTAAGACTCTATCTCAATCAGCCACTGTTCTAGATTTGTCCAGGCAAAATGTTAGTAAGACTCTATCTCAATCAGTCTCTGAGCATGGTAGTGAGTACTTGTCATTTCAGCTGTACAGGAAAAACAAATAGGAGGATTGTGGCCCAGGCTAGCCTGGGCAAAAGTGTGAGATTCTGTTCAAAAGCTAATGAAAACGCTGGGTGCCGGTAGCTCACACCTGTGGCTCAGGCTACTCAGGAGGCTGAGATCTAAGGATTGCAGCTCAAAGCCAGCCAGGGCAGGAAAAGTCCATGAGACTCTTATCTCCAATTAACCACTAGAAAACTGGAAGTGGAGCTGTGAGCACTCACCTTGAGCTGAAGAGCTGAGGGACAGCCCAGGCCCAGAGGTCAAGACCCATGGCCAACAACAACAAAAAAAGCTAACGAAACCAAAAAGGTCTGGGGTATGGCTGAAGTGCACCTGCCTAGGGAGTACAAGGCCCTGAGTTCAATTCCCAGTACCACAAGAAGGGAAAGAGAGAGGGAGAAAAGGAAGGAAGGGAGGGAGGGAGGGAG